TGTTCAAATAAAATAAATAATAAATTTAATCACTAAAAATAATTCACATTAATGCTTGTCTGTAGTGTGAACACAAATACATTAATGATTATATGCAGTACATGTGACAGGTGAATAATTTAAGCGCTTAGTACAAGTGGGCAGTTTGTTAATGCAATTTCCAATTCCAGTGAGTACTACAACTATTAGTTTTCATATAATCTTAAATGGTCAAAATATCTTAACGAAATTTATTTAAGTACATTGGCTATGTGAAAATCCAGTAGGATTCAGTGTACATTGAATGATCACAGAGATAAGAGATATCAATGTGGTTTTTTTGCGTGTATCTTGATCCTTATCAAATAATGTTCACAAAAATCACATTTTGGGAGAAGTTGGGGACAATCGACCATAAATCCTGGAACTAAACTTCATACTAATTAGTCACTCATCAGTAAAATGTTTTTATTAAGTGTATTAACATAGGTGAAGTCTAGCTACTGTTGGTATGCTAAGAGTGGTAAAGTTCGATTGTAATGTCGATCACATTTCTAAAATCAATTTCTTTCATATACTTTTTTCAAATAAATCTTGCTCTTTGCAAATGATGGTTAAATGTCGTATAAAAATAATTTTTAAGTCAGAATAAGAAAAGATGTATACGTACACAGTCTTGTAACTCAATAGAAAATGCCAATTTACAGCTAAATGAATATCAATTTATGAGGTATATATGGTGTGAGTGTGATAACGTTTCAGTTTTGTGCCAGTTTAACGTTTGACTAATGTATACATAACAGACAGCTGTTCACGTTTCATCATACTCCAATCCGTTCTCTCTACGATGAACGTATCGCCTCTGTTATATCTTCGGACCTACTGTGTATACTTGAAAAACAGGAGTCCCTGTGATTCCCACAGCTCGAAATAAAAACACGAAAGACTGATGCAATGAAAATCTATTAACAGTTTGGAATTGTGACGATTGTTGAACTTGATTGAAATCATGTATCGATTGCTGTCAGACTACTATTAAAAACCTGGAAACACAGAACGACCGTTTCGTCTTAGTATGTGACTTCTCCTTATCAATGCATATCGACGATCTCGTACACGGGATTCGGATCGAGCACCATCGGTGACGCTAGCGAACACTGAATGATCTAGAGATGAAGTGTTCGCGCGCGAGTCTGAGAGTGTTGGATTTGAATCATGCATGGATATCGTGTATGCACACTGATAAGGAGGAGTCACAAAGTAGAACGAAACGGTGACCCAGTGATCCGAGGTTTTCAATGATGGTCTAACATTGATTGATTGATCGATTGATTGATGATTTGAATGAGAATTTCTTGACTCTTGATAAACACATCCTTAGAAGAAGTTGTTGAAAGTGACTTGATCGTTGAATGAAATACATTGATTGATGTAGTGATTTTACACATATTTGATGATGAGTTTACTGATGCATCATATGAATGTGAAGATAAATGGGTCTATTGTGAAACGCTTACAAAGTACACACGAAATGATGCGAAGGATACAATGAATGAAAGTTGATGCCTGTCATATGTTGTATAAAATTGTCTATTGAATAATGAATGTAAAATATATTGATTTGAAATAATGTGACAATGGATGATGTGAACCCAATATTATTATGATGAGACTATAATTTATGGATGACATTTTAGTGACGCTGAAGTGACCTTGGGAGTGAACAACTTCTAATTAGGACTAAATGAGGGTTATAAAGCAGTTAGAATTGTCATTTACAGTTGATCGTTAGGGTTTAAAATTAGATGTAGGGTTTTCATCACGAACTGACATCAGCAATAATGCCGAAACTGTATTTAGCCAAATGTATGAATGAATTCCGCGCCCACATTCGTGACTCATTATCTTATATGTGATTGGTTCGTCCAAAAATTATAGTCTCGCCATTATTATTATTATTATTATTATTATTATTATTATTATTATTATTATTATTATCATGGAGGATTTTTGTGGAGAATGTAATAATTTAATAATTGAGTGCATGAGATAATTGAATGTAGATGACCATGGAAATCTGGAAACACTGGATGGACGTTTGATCTTATTATTGGACAGTGCACATTCACTATTCCGCCTCACGCGATTCGAACCCGGGACCAATCAGTCTTGCACACGAATGCTTAATGTTTAGACCACTGATCAGGCCGGCATCCAACTGTGTTATTGTTTAACTTCAACGAATCGACGAAATAGCTTCACCGTCTACCATTTTTCATCATTGAATTAGTATTTCATAACAGAGGTGGTTGAACTCTACTGTTCACTGCTTCTCACTAGAACTGCAGGCAATACCTCTTGAAGATATTCGCTTTTGAGCAAATGTTGCAGATTTTCCATGATGGTCTAACTTCAACTAACTCATGAATTCAATTATTAAATTATTATTATTGTTATTATTATTATCGTGTTGATTAGAATGTCATATTGTTAATGAATTGAATATCATAAAATGTGAATTCACCTTCTTATCTATCGAATTTTTAAACAAGTTGAAATAGATTATATAAACAAATCAATTGAAAGGAATTAAACTGTCGCATTAGAAACAACAATTTAATTGACTGATAGATTTTTATTTCCTCTTTTTTTGTATAAAAAAGCGGTTATTTCATGTTCGCTACACACTTCAAAGGATAACAGATTTAGTGGTTAATTATAAATATTTCAATTAATACTGGTTACACTTTTTTTGTTTGTAATTTTGATCATATGCTATCATTAATCTATTCATTGTTGCTATGGTTACCATCTGTATGTATATTCATTTATCGTTCACTCTTCCTTGTTTTTCTCTTTTTAGTTTCTGTTATCATTAATTTTTTTAAAAAATTCATTTCATACTACTGACGTTCAATCATTTTTTTTCTTATTCACATTTTTGGATAATCCATTTTGATGAACAGAAATTTTTATTCACTTGATATTGTTTTACTTGAATCTTCCCATTGATGTTTTTGGACTGAAATTGATCAGTCTCTTATTGGCATATGTGCATACTGTGCGTATGCCTCGATATTGCCTTAATTTACAAGCATTATAAGCAAAGATGGATGGTGGCTAGCAGTGGAATCCAGGACGCGCGTTTCGTCCTGTTTGGGACTCGTCAGCTGGATGTACCTGCATCTCAGAGTTGATGTTCACTCTGGGACTCGAACTCAGAGACTGATCAATTTCAGTCCAAAAACATCAATGGAAAGATTCAAGTAAAACAATATCAAGTGAATTAAACTTCAACCCAGTGCACAAGCAAGTGGCTATCAGGGCTCAGTAGCTAAGTGGATAACGCGATGGCGTTTGAAGCGAACGGTACTGAGTTCGAGTCCCAGAGTGAACATCAACTCTGAGCTGCAGGTACATCCAGCTGACGAGTCCCAAACAGAACGAAAGGCCTGTCCTGGATTCCACTGCTAGCCACCATCCATCTTTGTTTATAATGCTTAGAAATTTTTATGTTTTTATAATCCTGTCTATGTATCTATCTATCTGTCTGTCTATCGATCTATTTGCGTGTGTACATGCGTACCTACATGTACATATCTCATTTCGAACATAATCAAATAATTATAATTTACGTAATATGGGGTTAGTAACTGTCACCATAATTGATTTTATATTCGATTATATTCAGAATCTCTCTAAATTATATCTCAATTTCAAGTTGACGTAATTTATATATATTTGATACTGAATATAAGGTGTGAATAAGTTACAATTGATTGATCACTGGGTGGTGATCAATGTCATGCGTGTCTATTTGTTTGTTTTAATATATCAATATGTTTATTAATCGCATTGATGTATTCTGCCGCGTTTCTGAAAAGTGTACAACCTTTCGTTGTCAAAGTTACAAAAAACTCAATAAGAGCCAATGTGGTTGCTGGCAATATACAGCGAAAAGAATGCACATTATTCAGATGTTCATTTACTGAACTGCTAACATTTAACTGGCGATCACTCAATATTTATCGCCAGGACCGACCAAGAAGAAAGAAACGGAAACTTGTTGAAATACTTTGCGTTGAGAATTCTATATTGTACCAAAAATATATTGAATAAAGCTGATAGTAATAATAATAATAATAATAATAATAATAATAATAATAATAATAATAATAATAATAATAGTCCTTATTAGTGCAGATCGAATGCTATCGATCATGTTGCAATGTAGTCACCAGTCTAGATGACTCGACACTGCGGGTGTGAATACGTGTCTTCAATTATTGATTAGTACGAGCGTCTATTGGGAATTCTACACATGTGTAGACGTTTCTTAGATAAATAATTGATGACTTCATGAACTGATGTCGAGTTTTGGTTTTAGCCAGGATTGTATATCTGTTACCTTTTCACCCAATTCGATAAAATTTCACAGCCTCAACAATTCTTAGTATCTTAGGGTTAATTTCAACACTGCTTATTTGGTTGGACCATGTTACGGAAAGACGTGTGGTCGAATAGTTATAATTCACGAATGTCTTTTACTTTTATAGACCGTATTTCAAATTCTTATATTAATTCAGAGAGAACTACTGTTCATTATACTCCGTTGTTTCATGACAGGCGGTACAATATCCTCGCTTAGTCGTTCCACTTTATTTTTTACGATCAGTATCAAAGCCATAATCGGATATACTTGCCTGTCTATTGTGTCTATCTGAATTATTTATTGAGATCATGAATCATTCTAAATTAAACGACTATTGGGAACTAAGAAAACATTAAATACCCGTTTCTTTCTAGTATTGGAACCTCTCAACAGTGCCCATACAAAACCCTACAATATGGGATACAATCCAGGATATTCGATCTAGTACGTGAATTCTCCACCTCTAAACCAGTGAAAAGGTATTCAGTGATGTACAAGTCTATTTATAGTACATTATAAACACATGTTTTCTAATTGTATAGACTTTTTTTTTAAATTAACTGTTTTTAATTTACACATTTTTAAACAGCTGTAACTGATGCACGTGTTTGGGTGTTGGAAAGAGCATGTTTTCAAGCGATTATGATGAAAACTGGTTTGGAGCGTATTGAAGAACGTAAAGCATTTCTACGAAGGTTGGTTCATTACTTATATACGTGTGTATTTTTACGAGAAAAACAGTAAATTTATATAAACATCAATGATGTTGTAATTGAATCTCCAATGGAATCATTATATGCATACATGACAATGAAATCATACATTGTTAAGTCTGTTTAAAGACTTCATTAAATACCCAGCAAAGTTTGCACACTATTATTAATGTGTTATTTACATGTTTACACGATCAACTCCCTTTAAATTATATTTACTATTCTCACATTAACTATGGATTCAAACAAAACTGTATGAAAATAACTTTGAACATTTAAAAGTTATTCTACTGAATACTGACCTCTAAATAATTTTGATTTGATTGAAGTTTTTTCTTTGCAACTGGTTCCTTAATTGGTGGACAAGTTAGTGACCATCTGAGTTCAATAACTCAGTCAATAAGGCTTTGGTATATCGAGTGAAACTTATTATGTTCTAGTTTCACTGTAAATAGTAACATTGTGATACAGGTACATAGTCCTAAATAGGATGAAATGGAGTATCTTGGATTAAATTGTTAGGTACAATTTAAGTTTATTAAGCTAAAGATAGTTTATGTAGAGTAGATGAAATGTAGTTAGCAGTCGAATCCAGTACGCGCGTTTTGTCTTTTTTGAGACTCAACAGCTGTATGTGTGTCTACATCCCAAAGTTAATGTTCACTTTGGTATTTAAAGTGACAAGTTCTGGGTTCGAATCCCCAGTGAACATAAACTCCGGGCTGCAGATATGTCCAGCTAACGTGTCCCAAATAGAAAGGAACTCTCATTCTGTATTCCAATGAGGGACACATTCCATCTTTTCTATATTAACTTTGTCCAGACAATCTACACAGAATATTCATTTGTCAAATAAAACTAATCAAAATTCGTTAAAAAGCTATCAATAATGGGATAATGCGAACCATTACAAATCAAATCAAATCAAATATAATGTAGTAAAGAAAAGAATTTTCCACTCCAATTATTTCATTAGGTAGAGTTATACATTTGTTTCGATGGATCCTTTCTTATTTCTTTTTTACACAATATTAGTCTATTGTGAAATTGATAATAATGTTGCGTGATTTATGAAGCTAGCATGGGTGATAAAACACTTTCAATAAGTGAATATGCAGTTACGTAATCAGTTGTCTGATACAGTGCAATCATAATGAATCAATTGGGTGAAACTGATTTCCTAAACAAAGGAAGAGATTGAGAATAAACGAAGCGAAATGGTTTAGGTTTACTTAGGACTAGGTTAAAAATAAGTAAATAAAGGATCAAATATGGGTGTTTTAAACACAGGGTTCAATCAGGCTTGACTAAATTAGTGACTTGTCAACTCTCTAAACACTCACTTCGAGTCCGTTGTTTTGATGATTTCTACTTGTTTCTCATATTGATACACTGATATATGATTTAACAACCGATATACTTCTCTCCTCTAGATTTTATATTGACTAATTCGATGACCAATTCTTTGTCATATTTTCTCTCTGTTTATTTAAAACAATTAGTCCCTGTGATAAATTTGGTTAGTGTAATAGAAGAGGAAGATTATCAGAATCGTGTGATATATTAGCATAATTGTGACTTGCAAATTAGGTTGTTTAAACACGTATCTAAATGGTTGCAACGAAAAATAAAATAAAATGACCTCAATAAACAATAGATGGTAAACAACTATCGTTCTCTATTACTAAACATATAGTTGAAACAGGCTATAAGAATAATCTTAACTCCGTTTTTGTGGTTTTGTACAAAGTCTTCAAGAGCGTATACTGAGGTTTATTGAGATCTTTGATATAAGAAAATTGAAACCACGTTTGTGTGTTCAAAAACGGTTTTTCTCATCCTTAATCTATCCTGGTAATTTTCTTTTATTATCCAATGTGATTAGTTCCCTCTTACCTTCCATTCATTTAATTGACCTTCTAATTTCTCATATATAAATGTTCTTAATAAATCTGTATATGTAATCAGATTGTTCGTAATGTATTAGGCTAATATATCGGCTAGTTCTGATAATCTTCGTCTCTACTTATTGTAAAATCATAATTTGGTACTGTTATGGGTATATCGTCTCTATTATGTACATATGGGCTCTGTTGGATCCTCGGTCCTTCTGTTTTATGCTTGTAAACGGGAATTCCTGTGATTCCAACAGCTCGAAATAAGAACACGAAAGACTGATGCAATGAAAATCTATTAACAGTTTGGAATTGTGACGATTGTTGAACTTGATTGAAATCATGTATCGATTACTGTCAGACTACTATTAAAAACCTGGAAACACTGAACGACCGTTTCGTCTTAGTATGTGACTTCTCCTTATCAATGCATATCGACGATCTCGTACACGGGATTCGGATCGAGCACCATCGGTGACGCTAGCGAACACTGAATGATCTAGAGATGAAGTGTTCGCGCGCGAGTCTGAGAGTGTTGGATTTGAATCATGCATGGAGATCGTGTATGCACACTGATAAGGAGGAGTCACAAAGTAGAACGAAACGGTGACCCAGTGATCCGAGGTTTTCAATGATGGTCTAACATTGATTGATTGATCGATTGATTGATGATTTGAATGGGAATTTCTTGACTCTTGATAAACACATCCTTAGAAGAAGTTGTTGAAAGTGACTTGATCGTTGAATGAAATACATTGATTGATGTAGTGATTTTACACATATTTGATGATGAGTTTACTGATGCATCATATGAATGTGAAGATAAATGGGTCTATTGTGAAACGCTTACAAAGTACACACGAAATGATGCGAAGGTTACAATGAATGAAAGTTGATGCCTGTTATATGTTGTATAAAATTGTCTATTGAATAATGAATGTGAAATATATTGATTTGAAATAATGTGACAATGGATGATGTGAACCCAATATTATTATGATGAGACTATAATTTATGGACGACATTTTAGTGACGCTGAAGTGACCTTGGGAGTGAACAACTTCTAATCAGGACTAAATAAGGGTTATAAAGCAGTTAGAATTGTCATTTACATTTGATGGTTAGGGTTTAAAATTAGATGTAGGGTTTTCATCACGAACTGACATCAGCAATAATGCCGAAACTGTATTTAGCCAAATGTATGAATGAATTCCGCGCCCACATTCGTGACTCGTTATGTTATATGTGATTGGTTCGTCCAAAAATTATAGTCTCGCCATTATTATTATTATTATTATTATTATTATTATTATTATTATTATTATTATTATTATTATTATTAATCTCATATTGTTAATGGAACGAATATCATAAAATGTTATTGCTGAATTAGAGAGATAATATGAATTCGCCTTCTTACCTTGTATCAATCTGGTACAATTTTCTAACAATTCACACTATGCCAAATCATTAATCTTTCAGTCGTCAAATAGTCGTTTGATTGATGACGAAACTCATTTTAATTTTTAATGTTCTCTTTTATTTTTTATTACACAGTGTACCATTACTCAAAGATTTATCACCTAATCGAATATTGCGAATCGCTGATGCATTAGAGGCTCAATATCATTCAGCTGGTGATTGTATCATAAGGCAAGGTGAACTGGCTGACAGTTTCTTTTTAATTCAATCTGGAAAGGTAAGGAAATTTATTTATGAAATCAATTATAGTGTGTTAGTATGAAGTTTTGGAAATTGCTGAATTTTGTTGATAACACGGAGCGATTTAAGTTGCATAACCAGTAAAAGTCTGTCAGCAGTGGACGGCCATTTCCCCACAGCATGAAACTCGGCAGCAGTGAAAATCCTTGACGCCGATAATAGAGGATAAAACGTAGAACATTCGGCGTCACGCTGAAACACCTGTCGTGTTTGAGATGCTCATGGATTATTATTATTATTATTATTATTATTATTATTATTATTATTATTACGATTTCATAAATTCAGTTGGGTTTGCGATAACCCCTATCTTGGCTACCTTAATTCAGTTTTAGTTGGCATTTATAGGGGAGGAGTATTTGAAATCTTGAGGAAACTATTACTCGTAGTGGTATTCGAACTAGCATCATCAACTGTCAGAGATGGTACTACTAAGTGAAATCCGGACCAGACTTTGTCTTCATAGCTTTGGGATTTGTGAAACTGTGCCTCGTGAACCAACGTAGATGATTGATGGAGGTCAAACTAACTCACCACTATATCGTGAATTCGGGATGTCATCTACGATTATATGTCCGTATATAATGTCCATTTTACAAACCAAACGTGCTGGTATTTAGTCAACAAATAAAACACCAATACTTATTTATATACTGTGTGGTCCATTAGTCCCAAACTTGTGTAGTTTTAATGTGCATGTAATATATATTTACCACAAAGGAGTGGATTCCATCCTGTCATCTCAATAGTGGTAGATCTAGCATTGGGTCCCGGGGTTTTGATAGTCACTCCTCTATAAAAAACATAAATCCTAGCTCGGTTATGTGTGCCTGTATGAGGTAATCAAATATTTATCTCAAAGAGCCAATGGGCTCCTTCAGAAAAAGCGTGATTAACTTTCATGACCGGAACAGGCACTTTGAAGCTATTCAGATGCTGACTAGCATATAGAACTGAAATATTCACACACTAAATGTTCCGAATTTTGACGATAATTCTATATTCATCAAATTGTTTTAGATCTGGTCAAGTGAAGTGTTGATTTCACAGTAAATTATTTCAGGTGACTAGAAGTGGCGTCCAATTTTTTTCTATGTATATTTTGTGATTGAAAAGTGGAGATGTTACAGTATAATGTACTAGGTACTTCTAGTTAAAGAAGGACGTGGTGGAACATTTTCTAACAATAATGTTTAGATTTCCTTGAGAATTTTACAGAATTTATTATTTATTCTAAAGAGGAACACCACGCCATCAACCTGCAACAGTTTACATATAGTCATGTTTTCCTAGAAACAGAACTTTCTTCAAAAGTATATTTGAAGTCAATGGTAAAGATAGTATATCAGGTAGAGGCAGGTATCTACCTCAGTACAATAGAAAATGGTCGCGCAATTTCGTGGATTGGTTGAGGTTAGACGTTAACACTGTTGGATGCCTAGTCAGTGGTCTAAAGGTTGAGCGTTCACTCGTGAGACTGAAGGCCCCTGGGTTCGAATGCCACTCGCGGGGTCGTGGGTGCGCACTGCTGATGAGTCCCACAATAGGACGAAACGGCCGTCCAGTGCTTCCAGGTTTTCAATGGTGGTCTAACATCAATCGGTTCATGATCTCAATTTCCACAACCCCGTATTGATATTTTAACGATCCACCAATTCAACCGTAATGTCTCTATACTAAATCAACATGTTCATTTACTCTTTCTGTTGTTGGATTAAGTCATTACATTTTATCTTCCATATTCAATATTCTATTTTCATTATTCCCTCATTAATTATTTCCGGATTATTAAGTAGTTATCATCGTAACATTAAGCTTTTCGTGTGTCGCGACAATGGAATGACAGTGAACCATCACTTCAAATTATCCTTGAAGTTGCACAAACAGTATCTTAGAAGATAAAAAGAGTGGAGGTTAATATTTGGTGATATTGGTTCTCAACCACACGATCCTTGAAGCCAAACATACGATAACTGAGAAGACCTACATTAAGCACTGAAAACTTGGAAGTCATAGATGGTGAATTCAGGAGTCGGCATGGCTCGGCCACGCAGATAAAATCACTCTGTATCTTTTTATTCTTTATGTTAAATATATAATTCTATCAGTAAACTTGCTTGTATACTTCAATAGTTCTTGCCAAACAGTACCGCCATCTATCACTATAAGGCAAGCCAGGATGTACAATAATGTAACTTCAAAGCAAAATCATATTTCTTGGGTAATCACATCATGGCCACTCAAATATATTATGCTAGGGCTATTAGTCTAATGGCATAAATAAGTTAACCAATAATGATTTCAGACCTAAATTCTAAAAGTAAGTGATGTCGTAAAGGATATTTTCCTTGCTAATCTGTCTTTAATTATTTTCTAGTATGAATTTTGTCGAATTTATAAGTTTGTCGCTTATTGCTATTATATTGTGCTACATATACATTAAGGTTCGAGTCACTATATCCTCACCTCAAAATGGTTCAACCGAAACCAAAGAAACTGAAATTAGACAATTAACCAAAGGTGAATATTTTGGTGAAAAAGCATTACTCGGTGAGGGTCGTCGAACAGCAAATGTTTATGCTGTTGGTCCTGGTGGTGTTGAAGTATTATGTTTATATCGAAAGTAAGTTTTATGCAATGAACTATTTAATAAACAAGCAAGTACTGTAAAACTCATTTATATTACTCAGCTTGAGATTTTTCTGTCTGTGTTTGTGGTATGCATCTGAGATGGGTTTTTTTTCAATAAGTAGTATAACAACGACTATACATTGAATAGATCTAATACTGGTAGCCCAATATTATTCCAGTTACCAATCGATGGAGGCGTGAATTTTTCCTATTAGACCATCGGATCATTTACCTATCAGCACACGACAAATGCACGTGGACGTTTTAACTCCTACATCCTAAACAGTGCTTTTACGACGGGTTATACATTCGTGATACAAGTTGAGAATGGAATTCAGAGTCGTGGAAGTTCTGTTTGTCTTAATACATCCAACCACTTCTATGGTAACACTCATAGAAAAATGATTCAACGAACCCATTGACGTTTCTAGTAATTATCCATTATAGCTGTATATAAGACCTATGGAGTAAATTTTAAAATGTTCAGCATTTTCTCATCCCGTTTAATAAAATACAAATGATCTACAAATGCTACACATTCGTCATTAGCATCTACAGATTCCCAGTGAAACTTCCAAAGTTTATACTTGTCTCTGCTTACTAGCCAAAGCGAACTCAGTGATCACCCAGGTGTATAGATACACAAATCATTAGTTTTAATCCCTTATTTTTCTATATGACATTCAGACTTACCATGAATTCGTTGTTTATTCCTGTCATATCTTATAGGTATATGTATGTGCTTCTAGTATTTCTATTTTCACAGTTATTATCAGTCGAAATCTCCCATCTTTTTTTTATAGTGTCTTAGTTCGTTTACTTTATAATATAAATGACAAAACTCTTCTTCAACCGCCACCCCTCATACACATCATAAATATTTGTATAACTTTCTCAGTATTATTTGGTTTTTAAAAACTGATGAGAAATGACATATTTGCTTCAATTGTGTAATATTCCTACTGGGAGGTCGGTTACATGCCTTGACTAACTGACTGGCGGCTATGCAATACTTCACATGAAATAGCTATCCAGTATCTCCAGGTTTTTAATGATTATTTAAATAAGATTACTTCATGATTTAATCTGTAAGTTTAGTAAATACTCTAACTGGTGTCATATAAAGTGTATTATGTAGAATTGAAGGTACAACAATCTGCCTCGACTATTCGTGTTCTGTCATCTGTTACTCTCAGAACCGTGGTTTAGTTCTTTCAGCTTTTGGACAAAAAATTTCAAATGAAATTTACATATAATTCTATCAACTACAAACGCTTTGTTGGAATTGTTTTTACAGACGATTTTTCACCAAACCTAATCATTAGATCATCATAGAGATCAAACCTGATTTGAATCAATGGTGTTGTCTTTGCATTTGATCTTCATATCCCTCATTGAAACTCTTTATCCACTAAGAAACAGCTATTTTCCTTCAATAGCATTATATTCATAAACATACCAGTTATTATTTCATAAATTTCTTGAGAGATTATTTCCCCTATGCTTCATCAACATTACATTGCTTTTATGTGAAAATTATATTTGAAATAATCTCAGCGACTGAAATTTAAATAATTCCAATGTTTCGTCCAGCTAACTTGTCTGGACTTCTTCAGGGTAATAATCAAACACAGTATAGTTTTGATTGTTAAAAGCTATATATTTATTTGATAATTTTGATTTTGACTATTACCCTGAAGAAGTCCAGACAAGTTAGTTGGACGAAACGTTGGAATTATTTAAATCTCAATCGCTGAGATTATTTCAAATAGAATTTTCACATATGATGACTTCTCTATACTCTGCGCCCAATTTCTGTCATACTATTCATTCTAATCTTGATGAATATTCATATAAATTACATTGTTTGTTTTCCTTTGAAGTAAATCAATTTTTTTTCCATGTAATGTATTTTCTAACTTATTACATTTCAGAGACTTTTTGGAATTGATTGGTGATATACAAGAATTGAAAAATAAAGAATATGCTGATGAAGAAACACGATTATTAGGCCATAGGTAAGTTTATAGGAGGATATTTTTAATAATTTAAGTTATTCAATGTTTTATTTCCTCAATTAGTTTGATTGACCATTGAGTAGTGATATCAATTTTGTTTTTATCTAGTCCTTTCAGTTGTAATAGAATTTCGTCTAGTGAACTAGTATTGTGGCGGCGGAGGCTCAAAATCACATGCATTATGTTTTTATATTTTGCGGTTTAAGGTGTTTGAGAGGAAACCCTACTCGACCTAGATTTCATGCTGGTTGACACTTGTTCGAATGACGTGTGTAAGACCTTGAGGAAACTTATATATTCACAGTAGCTTTTGAATCCACGTCAGGTAGCTTCACTGTCTGAGACGCTGACACTGAGTTATTTTGGCCTCTTATATAAAAACTTACAATGTAGGAAGCATATGACATTTAAACTTAAGTTGTTAGTTCTATCCATTGAAGATGGCATAAGGTTTTACATATATACTATCAGCATTATCACTAACAACATTTCTGATTACCTCAGTCGAGTTATATTAGCTGGAATAATTGTTTCTTTCGGTCCTATCACTCTATACAGGTCAATTTAGGAACGGTAAGGTTAAAACTGGCAACTGAATGCCCAAGGGAAAAGTCTTAATACCAACTGTTCAGAAGTGTGACCTCAGTAAAGTGTTTCTTTCAGAAAACTAGCATCCTCACAAAGGAAGGATGAAATTAGATTAGGTTGGACCTAAGCAGCTATTTCATTTAGTAGTATGCACTGAAAATAATGTCATTGATTTGTATCCTGGACCTTTAGGAATTACAACCATTTGGTTGTTATCCAATTGTCCACATATCTTCCTATTATGATAGCGTTCATTCTCTATTTTTAAATACCCCATTTAAAGTTTACTCTTTCCCATTCGTTTACTCTTGCCGAACACAAATTAAGATAAATGAAACTCAGTATCTCTCAACACTTGGAACTTATCTATTCATTCAAATTCCGAAGTGAATTCGTCCACTGATTGAAAATAATCAATTACTTCAAATCAAACAAGCCAGTCATCTTCGTTTCGATTAAATCGATTTTTTCCTTCTTATATACAATTACAAATTGTTACACCAAGAGATTACAGATACACCTTACTGATGAGTACTAAAGAATACGAAGCCTAGTTGAAATACGGTTTCCTATTGGCCATCTACCTTCGAACACTTAACACTGATTTCTCCCCAACTTATTGTTCACCTATTAAGAATACCTGTGTTTAATGTGTACGTCTTTGCATGGGTGTGTGTTTATTAATTATGACAATTTTGTTTCCTGAAAATTTTATCTTTCAGTTCATTTTCACAAGAATCATCCATTGTTAGTATAAGCACAAAAGATACCGGAAAATTAGATTTAACTTCAACAAAAAGTCAAGATGAATTACATACAAAATTCGGTTTAATTAATCAACCATTACTACCGGCTAGTTTATCATTACAACCGAAAATTCAATGTAATATACTATTGAAAGAGTTAGAACATATTTGTGTACTGGGTGTCGGTGGTTTCGGTCGAGTGGATTTAGTAAGTTCAATCTATATGTATATATGTATAATGTCATATTATTGCAGTTTTTTTTAATAATTGAATTTACGAATCGATTAAAGTTAGATTACCATGGAAAGCCTGGAAGCGCTGGACGGCCGTTTTTTCCTAGTATGGAACTCTTTAGCAGTGCGCGTCCACGATCTCACGCGCCGGACTCGAACCCGGGAACTTCGGTCTCGCGCACGAACGCTTGACCTCTAGACCACTGAGCCGGCCGGCATCCAAATTTGTCAATGTCTAATTTTAACCAATCCACAATATTGGGCGACCACCCAGCGTCCGTGTGCGAGACCGAAGGTCCTGGGTTCGAGTCCCATATGCGGGATCGGGGGTGCGCACTTCTGAGGAGCCCAATACTAGGACGAGACGGCCGCCCAGTGTTCCTAGATATTTCCACGGTGGTTTGGCATTAATCGATTCATGAATTCAACTATTAAACTATTACAATCTCCAAAAGCCCCCATTTTGATACTGTAGTTTTAGCTAGATAGTTGGAGATTATCGATAGAAAATACTTGATTGATTTTGGTCTCATGCTGATTGGCATTTTTCATCAAGAAGAAATCTGTCTGTGATATTTGTGGATCTATCTCAGACGATGTCACGATGACAGAGACATTACCACTAAGTTTTCTGAACTGTAACTGATTGATTGACCCGCTGAGAGTTTTTCACTTATATCATTTGTGTTGAAGTTAATGAATGGTGATCGAATTCGGTCTGTTAAAATTACAATGTAGTCAACAATTTAAGTGATAAAACGTTGTGATACACTAATTTTTTTCTGTTTAACTGGTGACTGGTAGAATTCATTTGTAAGTCAGCCATTTATACATAACTTTCTTGCTTGATGACATTTGTTAGTATTTCTTAATTCTCCTGAGAATTAACCAATGTGTAATTGTACAAAACACCAGTGTCTGTAAACGAATGTACTGTAATTTTCTTGAATGATATTTTTTAAAGGCATATTTTTCATCACAAATCGACACAGGTTTATACTTGTTACGGTTTTCTTCTTCTTTGAGAGTCTTTTAGAATAGTACAAACTTTATCAAAACTTCATAGTAAGTTGTGAAGTTTCACATTGAAGTTATCGATGCATGTAAGGAAACCAGAGCTCAAACATAGGCTATTTACTGCTCTAAACCATGTTTTACTATCTAATGTGTTTTTAATAATTAGATATTCATTTATTTATTTAAACACATAAACATTGGTACAAGGAGGCACCAAATAGATATACGCCATATAAATCATTAGATTTGTGTGAGAGTTGGGATACTGCTTGGGTGCCCAAACCGAAGCAGGTGGTTTTCTTAGGAGACCACACTTAGAGCCTTTGGCCAGAAGGTCTAATCCACAAGACAGTGGAGCAACGTCAGGAGATGCAGTTCCATGGTAACCGGTGACCAACGATTGGTTCATAGGTCATTTGTTCCCTCAGAATTGTGGAGCTCATATGCACCATTGGTTTGGGATCAGTGTTTTCCAACTCCTCTAGGTGGACTCGCCGTGTCTGCCAACCCGGTTAATGCTCCGAACATTCGCTTTTCGTCCTGTCAAATTCGTAATCAACACCCGTGATGCGAGAAGGCAGTGAATAGGACTTCACTGGCAGTGGTTGTATGCACGTGACCATGTGAGAATTTCGAGAAAGAGAGAGAGAGAGGACTCTCCCCACTCTCGGCCGTACCAGGGCATTTGGGCTAGCAATTATTTTGATTTATCTACTATCCTGTTGATTTTTCAAATGTCCTTAACACTTCAACTGTCATATTTATTATGACTATTAGTGTTATTTTTATTGGAGTTTAGCTACCATACTCTATGTTAGTCTTTGAAAATATCAAACAATACTACTCTATTGGATGATTTATGAATAAATGTCTCGTACTTTGTCGTTGTTATGTAAGTAAGGAGTGAAACAATGACTTATTGGTAGTATTAAAATAGTTTTTTACGACAGAATTTCAAAATATGCACAATTGTATTGTGAATTCAGTGGTTTGAAGGTATTTCATTTTCTAGGAAATTGGATTGTCTCCTATCTTATGTGAGATTTGGAGTATTGACTACTGAAAAATATGCAACTCGAACGAAATAATTAGTCAGTATTGGTTATTTTTCCATTGTTGCCTATCTCCTTATACCACTTACAAAAATAGTGCATTTTGGATTAGAACACAGTGTGTTATGCATGTAACGGTCGATGATATTATTTATTGATTTTCTAAACTGAATTTTGATGTATCAGGGGTATGAAACTGCAACTTGCTGTTTGATAGTCGAGTTCTTTCATCGCTAAGCCACTGTTTGAAGATGAAAAGTACTTTCGAAATCTACATTTTGCCTGGTCTATTGATCATGTCAAAAATACAGTAACAGAGTTAGCGGTTCAAGAAGCATAAATGAACTCGAAGTAGTTTGTTATGAGTCAGTTGAGTAAAGTGGAGCATATCGACCTCGCGGACGTGGTAAGCATTAGACATGTGTTTGCTTTGATACATCTCAGCAATTCACGGTTGTCGTCAATGTAATTAGATAATTATTTGTGATGGATTGAAATCAACTAGAATTCGGAATATCCACTGCTTTTAGTTTCGATTCAATAGTCTAAGAGTAAAGTACTCTCCTAAAGGTTCATCATCTTCAGTTAGATTTCGATGTGAACTTATTGACTCACATCTGAGAAGTTGCTTGGGATGCTAGATCCACAGTATTCACTTAGTAAACGTCTTATTTTTGTAATTTTATTTTGGGAATTTGAATTTTTCGTTTTCGCGTCAAAAACACCCATTCTTACCTTCACATTATATTTCCCACTTGAAAAAAAACCCTAAATGTTACTGATCGATTGCTTCTTTTGGTATATTATTTTGTGACGTTTCCCAAGGACATTTTTATGCTGTATATTTACACTTCAGTTGTTTGCTTGTTGTTGTTCGTGCTTCTGGCTGCTTGTGGAATGTACTTTCCATCATCTGAACCTCGTATTCTCCCTCTATTTACCGGGGCTGAATTGAGATTCGAAACAATCAATGAATTAATCAGTTTGAATCTCAGTTTCAACATCAAATCACTGAAATGTCTGTACATTCAGTTAAGAGAATTAACTAGTTTCGTTTCACTCAGGACTTTTCAGATGGATGTACTTGCACTCCATTGTTGGTGTTTATCCTGAGGACTCAAACTCATTGCATTTCGCTTTAAAGAAATAACGCTATTCAATTAGCTATTGAGTTCAGATAGCTATTCACTTGTGCTGATGAGTTCCAAATAGGATAGGAATCATTTGCTAACCATTATTCAACTCTGCTTAAAATTCAAACATATTGAGACCAATCCACACAGGATGCATATATGCTAAAAGAGGCTGATCAATTATACTCCTTCATAACATCAATTGCGAGAAGATGCTTGTTTTTTTTCCATATCCATTTATTATATCGACTGATGACATGAATGTTTATATGTTTATTTTATTTTTGCATAGATTATTTTCCTTTCATTGTTTATTGTTTACATTCTTGACATTTAAAAGGGTGAGTGAGTTCGTGAATGATTGTGATAGATACGTTGTAAACAAGGAGGGAAAGTGTTCAAAGTATGGAATGCATTAATTTTTTGCTATTAAAATCGTGATATCATTCTGTTTATCTGCCTACATATTATATATATATATATATATGCTTAATATAAATTTAATAGTAATCATTTTATCCATTGACTTGTTTTCGTTTCATAATCTCCATTCTTCCCGCTTCCCCCCCCCCACTTCTGTTTGACTTATTTACATTACAATTAATGTGAATTAGATCTTTTTCTGACCATGTAAATGATATTGGAAAGAAGGCTTATCTCATGTGTTTGTTTGTTTACCTAACGACTGTTTATCCTTACTTTAATCAGTGCGAGAAGAAAGTGGAATACCTCTCTCTCTCTCTCTCTCTCTCTCTCTCTCTCTCTCTCTCTCTCTCTCTCTCTCTCTCTCTCTCTCTCTCTCTCTCTCTCTCTCTCTACTCTCTTTCAATTGATTCATGAATTCAACTATTAACTCACTATAATATCCCCAAAATCTCTTTATCTGATTATAATCATTATATGATCACTAGTGACTGTCTCCAAGAGATATTTCCTGAAGTCGGGGTTAATTTAAGTAGAAAACTATTGCTTACCCTAAATCATACGTTGAATCAAAAGAAGAAAAGAAAAGAAAAAAAGAAAACAACGATTGAATTAATAAGCTAACAAACAAAATAAGAACCCATTTACACATTGCTCCTAGCATTCCCATCTCTGTCCTCAATCCTTTCCCTCTTTCATAATCTCAATACATAGTGCCCACAGTGTCGAGTCACCTAGACTGGTGGCCACATTGCAACATGATCGATAGCATTCGATCTGCACTAATAAGGACTAGACAAGCATGACATTGATCACCACCACCCAGTGATCAATCAATTGTGATTACATCTCAGTCCTACAGGAGGTTAGTCACGGCTCGGATAGCTCAGTGGTAACGTCTCTGACTGTGAAGCTGGGTGACACGAGATCGAATCTGCCAGGGAGCACCAGTTCCCTCAACATTACAGGTACACCTTGCTGACGAGTGCCAAGTAGCACGAAACCCGGGTCCACGGTTTCCTGTTCACTACCTCCAACCACCATCGAATCTCAATACATAGTGCCCACAGTGTCGAGTCACCTAGACTGGTGGCCACATTGCAACATGATCGATTGCATTCGATCTGCACTAATAAGGACTAGACAAGCATGACATTGATCACCACCAAGTGATCAATTGTGCATCATACACATGTGTTTCTATCCAGATAAACAATGATACCTACAAAGTTTACACATCTGTTAAAAAGTTATGTAATCAACCGATACTTTTTATTTGTTTAGAAATGTGATATTTAACAACTACAATGGAACCACTTATCAATGAATTGAATATTGAAATGTTAGGTGAACTATTTTCTTTTTCGACATGCTGATAAGAAGTAGAGTTGATGTAAATCACATTACAAATGTATTTCATGGACTTTAAATCGTGAACATTGGAAATCTGAAATCACTGAATGTCCATTTCGTTCTAATATATATGAGACTCTTCAACAATGTGTATAAATGACTTTGGGGATTAAATCCATGAATTTCAATCTCCTAAATTTATTTGTATAGAATCATTCAACATATTGAATAATGATCTGATCAAACATAGAATTGAAGATGATAGAACATGTATGCCAAAATAACTTCACAACAAACCCAAGATAAGCGTATATAGGTTAAATAATAATAATAATGTTAATATTAATACTTTTCTATAGTTAAGTTACTAATTAAAGTAGGTTAAAAGCTGGACTTTCATGTATTCAAATATGGAAATTATCTTAGGTGTTTGTAAAAAGAAAAAAAAAGCTTTGACCATTAGATAAACAATTCACTCTTATCTATACAACAAAACACATTTTGATCTTATCTTGAACTTGTCCTTAATACATTTTACGCTTAGAACTATAAATGAGGTGATGTGACAACTTTTCATTCTATCATATCTTCTTTCTATTCAATATACAATCATCATTTTATGTACTTATACAACCTTTTATTGACTAATAATTAATTACTTTGAAATGGAAATACGTATTATGCAAATACTTATACACTTGACTTTTTCACCTCAATCATGTCTTTCTCTTTTATTACACTTTTGAAATATGTAAAACTGACTAATTAAGCAAAGATGAATAGTGGTTAGCAGTGGGATCCAGTTTGACGCGTGTTTCGTCTTATTTGGGACTTGTCAGCTGGATGTACCTTCATCTCAGAGTTGATGTTCACTTTGGGATTCGAACCCAGTACCGTTCGCTGGATTCAGGTACATCCAGATGACGAGTCCCAAATAAAACGAAACACGCGTCAAACTGGATTCGATTGCTAGACCCTATATATATATATCATATTACTGATAGAATTACTATATGTATAACACATGAAGAACAATATGACAATTCTATTTGGACGATATTTCTTACAGACTATCTGGCATATTGTTACTGTTTAAAGGTTTAAATTATATATGTACGCTAGATACTTCCATCGTGTAGACTAGGTAGGTCGAACGACTAGTAATACATAAGTGACATCTAAATAATGTGACTGTTACATATAAATATTAAGAGAGATGCAACTTTTCAAGAGTCCTTTTGCATCTCAAGGAAAGACACGTAAATAATTAAATATCACAGCCTACTTCTGTACACGATGATTGATACTGCAACTGTAGGTTTGAAGAAAGGTATGAGGTGGGGCAGACTAAAAACATGGCATCAGTTCATGAAATCATTAATTGTTGGACTGGACCATGTTGATTAATGTAGACTACGTGGTTGAGATCTGTGTGATAAGTGTAATCAGTGATTGGAGATGTTGAGTAACGTGGCTCGGAATTGTTCGTAATGGCACAGATGCACTCACTCTTCATCTTCCTCTTGATCTTGAATTCCACTACCCTTTCATGCATACGTTTCGATTCTGTCTTTCAATCTATATTCTCAAAGTTAAGTTTTTCTTTTTATCATTTCAGTTATATCATTTCGATCTTTTCTGCTATTTTTATCTCGTCTCGCTAATATGTTGTGAAAATTTGTATCAATGTACATCTGTACCAGTCTCTATGCTGATGATCTCAGGATTTATCTACGTCATAATATATATCTTTGTCGCTCCAAAGCACTTTTGCATCATAACTGATATCAGTTCATAACGAAAACTAACCCTAAACCTTTAACCCTTACCTTTAATACCTAAATCTGATCAAAAACAGTGTGGAGACTCTTAGAGATCTATTTTTGTTAGAGATAAATTGTAATCTTTGTCCATGAGGTCGAGTTTTTATGTCATCTTTTTCGACTTACAGGTAAAGGAGCTCGTATAGTACATTTTTAGGACTCATTAATTGTGTATAATCTGTTTACATTTAGTAATCTTATTGTCTTCTTTTCCATTAACTATCCATTAACAAAGTCTGCTTTCTGATTAACTAAAAACTGATTGACAATTGGTCACTATTGTTTTAAGTTAGTCCCTGTACTACACTCCGGATAAGGATACGTGTCCGTGAATTTTCAGCGCGTCCGCACTTCAGTGATCAATATGTGTGCAATATATAGCATATTCTCCATGAATAATGCACATAAGAGTATAGTTTTCATTTCAGTCTCTAACTTTCATTCGTCAAGTTGGGATTCACTATACAGTAGAATGTTCAAAAAAGATAGATAGTCGTAAATAATTGAACTGAAATTCTTATTGAAAACTAAACTCTTATATACAGTACTCATCCATCAAATAAGCGGAAAAGATGCTCGGAAAATACTAGATATTGCGTCTTCTTTTTTGAACATTGAAAAATGATGGTTATCATTCTATCCATGAGAATGAATATCAATATTTTATCAACTTTATTTGATAAACTCTCTTCAGTAATAATTTATCACACTTCATAGAATAAGGCATTCAATAAGTGTTGTAGAAAGTGATCTATGATGATTCATTTATCTGTACATTGTTATATCCTAGTGGAGAGTAAACTACGGGTACCTTCTGAAAACCATTAATGAACTAATAATCTATCTATCTATATATACTTATTGTATAATCATTCAGTAACTAGATTATGTTTATCTATATTCCTCTTATTATAAGCTTCATTTTGACCTAAAGATTATTCTTATACGATTTACTGTTCTTAAGTTATGTTCAGTTTATTGATTACAGTTTCCCACGTTTAGAGCCAATTTTGGCTTTATTTTATAGAAATATTATTTCCTATTTTATGGAGTGATGCGGTCTGTTTGTTTATTATACAGACTAAGTATGTTTGAAATAAATGATTCACATAGTGGAAACTGTTATTGATGTCCTGGACTCAACTGGAAGGGCTAGGAGATCAAAAGACGCTAGGTTACTCATACAGGTTGAATATCATTGATTTGGCACAGTGCCAAGATTTTATAAATCATATTTTGATTAACGAATAAATCAAGTAATAATTAGATGAACTTGAAGTCACAACATACATTATCGTCATTATTATCCATCATTCATCATCATTAGAATATTGTAATTTTTGTAATAAATTATTATTATTCCTTTTTAGGTAACATTAAAAAATGACCGAACTCAAGCATTTGCATTAAAGCGATTACAAAAAGCACATATTGTACAAACTCGTCAACAAGAACATGTATATTGTGAAAAATTAATTCTTTCATCTGTTTCATCACCGTTTATTTGTCGGTAAGTAAATTTATAAATGAATAGTTTTTATTCATTTGGTATTGTTTTACTTGTATCTTCCCATTGTTATTTAGGATTGCAATTGATCAGTCTCATGTTGGAATATGTGCATCTTATGCCGACTGCTTCGATATTGCCCGAAGTCACAATTTTTTAAAGCAAAGATGGATAGTGACTAGCAGTGGAATCCAGTTTGATGCGTGTTTAGTCCTATTTGGGACTCATTAACTGGATGTACCTGCATCTCAGAGTTGATGTTCAGTCTGGGATTCGAACCCAGTAGCGTTCGCTTCAAATGCCATCGCGTTATCCACTTACCTACTGAGTCTTGATAGCCACTTGTTTGTGCAATGGGGTGAAGTTTTACTTCACTTGGTATTGTTCTACTTGTATCTTCCCATTGTTATTCAGGACTGCAATTCATGAGTCTCTTGTTGGCATATGTACATTCTGTGCGGATTGCCTCGATACTGCCTGAAGTCACAAGCTTTATAATTTTTTTATTTATTCTTTTTCTGGAACAAAAACATATTTTTAATTACAAGTTGAATGTATAATATCTGTCCCAGTGGATTGGTGAACTGAAACTGTAAACACTTTTTATTGTTGATAAAATATGAAGTCTATTAGCTGTGTTTTTTATCTTTTTGAACTAGTCCCCTGGGTGTAATCTTTGATTTCATTGTTTTTCACTGGAGTATTTTACTCCTGCTGATTGATTAGTGACTAAGACAAAGTTTCATTTCGCTTTTTGTTTGCATCCATCATTTTCTTTTACTGAGTAATAAATAACACTTAAAGCCTAATTTTCTTAATGTCACAGTAAGAGAGAAGATAAGTCGGTCCTCAACAAGAGTGCTTTTCTATTCCCTGAAGAAGTCAGAATGTGGTGCAGTAATTATATTTGGTATTATTTTCGGAGGATTTGTGGAGATTGTAGAATTGTCGTAGTTTAAATCACGAACTGTCCTTACTTAGATCACTATTGAAAACCTGGAAGCATTGGACAGTCGTTTCGTCCCAGTGTAGGATTCTGTACTGGTGCTCATCCACCAACTTTCATATGAGATGTGGGTTATGTAGTATCGTGAATTAGTCGGATACCAATTCAGTGTTTTAGAGGTTAAGGGTCCGCGTGCGAGATCGAAATTCTTGGGTTTGATTCTTTGTGATGGAGTTGCAGATGTGTACTTCTGAGGAGTTTCATTCTACGACGAAACAATCGTCAGGTAATTCCAGGTTTTCAATGCTAATCTAACTAAAATCAATTTGTGTGGTTTGTTTTCTCATTTTCTTATTGACCATCCCATGTTTTTTGATTACAAGTTGATATCATACTCGTGGGAATGTGTTCTGTTTCCTTTTCGTATTTTGGTCATATGTTAGTAAGTACTAACCTTGAGACTATTTTCCCATACAGTTTTGTCCGCCTGAAATATTTTACTAAATTTGTTCACATACACGATTATTTTTCTCGAATTTATGATATGAATATAGTGAATTAGTGATCAGAATATATAAGAGGTGCAGGGTATTAGGGAATGATGATGGCAAATCAGTTAATGTGGGTGTGAATCTTCATCGACTGAGATGGTTGGGCCACGTGTTGCGTATGTCTTAACACCGATTACCACGACGCTCAATGCTCACTAGTGTTGCGAATGGTTGGAAGAAAGTTAGGGGGTTTTTTTGGTGGAGTTTTGTTCTCTGAGCTGGATGGTTAGGGGCGGCCAAATCAATACGTGGCATCAATGCTTGAAGTCACTAACTTCTAGTCTGATCCACGTTGTTAGATGCAGACTATTTAGTTGGGGTCCTCACGACCATCGTATCCAATGGTTGGAGACTGTGGATGACATGGCTTAGAATCGATCACAATGGCGTAGGTGTATACACTCTATCTTCCCTTAAACTACGATATTAAAATCGCTTCACATCTTTCTGCCAAATAATTATTTATTCCTGTATTATGTCCTTATATGCAATCTTTCTTTTATATATTACCACTATTGAATTAACTACTTCTATGAATTTGGTGTTCATGTTGTTGTGCTAATGAGGTATGGCAACTTGGACCGATGCATATATGTGCCTGGTCCTACGTTCTAGCTGACTGACTGATACACAATCAATTTCTTAACAAACAATATTGGCAGTCATTCATTATTAAAAGAAGTTGGTAATTTCATGTATTCGTTAAATACACCATGTTAGTTAATCGTAATTTTAAATTGGATTGTAGAGTCTTATGTAATCGTGACATCGATCTACACGTAAGATTGGACATAAAATCTACAAAAAGAGCAACAGAAAATATCACATTTTTATTCATTATCTAAACACATTAGATACTATGCTTGATGATGATCATGATGGTACTTGGATAATTTATGATGAAATAATTTTACATAAGTAATAAAAGTACTTATCAATATAGGGTTATGGAAATTATTGAATTTGAATTAAGATCATGAACCGATCAATGTTAGGCCACCGTCGGATGTCGACTTAATGGTCTAGAGGTTAAGTGTTCGCGTGCGTGACTGAAGGTCCTGGGTTCGAATCCCACGTATGAGGTCGTGGATACACACCTCTTAGGAGTTCTCATACTAGAACGAAATGGCTGTCCAGTACTTCCAGGTTTGCAATCATAGTCTAACATTGATCGGTTCATGATCTCAACTGAAATTCAACAATCTCTAGGATTTAACCAATTAACTAATTGACTACATATAAAAATTCTAAACTATAACAAGTTTTACAATTTATCTTTGTATATTCACATGTGGCTGTTTTCGTCTAGATTGTTATTCAGATATCGTTGATATATAGTCACATTAAGTTAAATAATGCACAAAAAAACAGTACATTTCATAATGTTATTTATTACATATAATGATATTGTTGTTGTTGTTGATGATGATTCCATCGGTCGTGATGACTCGACATCAATATCTAAATAGGGGGTATACTTATAATAGTTCCTTCCAGTTTTCCCTCTCTATTCTCTAAAGTATTCCTGCTAATATAAATAGAATTTTAATAGTTGAGATCATGAGTCAATTGAAGCTAGACCACCTGGAAGCGCTGAATAGTCGTTTCGTCCTAGATTTAAATATTGTTACAATAACATGTATCTCACAAATCTAATCACGTGTGAAACTGATAGGTCCTGGGTTCGAGCCTCACGAGGCGGAATCGTGGGTGCGCACTGTCAAGGAGGAGTCCCACAGTAGGACGAGACGGCCGTCCAGTGTTTCCGGGTTTTCCATGGTGGTCTAGCTTCAATTGACTGATGATCTGAACTATTAAAATTATTATAATATCCACAAAACCCCTTCTGATAATGAACAGAATTTATAGTCATTTAAAACTTATACTTTAGTAATTATGATAAGTATTATATTATAAATTCGTACGTTTTGAATATCTGCTATATATTTTATCCAATAAATACACTGAGTTGGTAAGATTATACTTCAGGGACTATAAAAAAAAGATCAGTTGTACTTTATTTGAGTGACTAAGACTTTGATTGTCAGTTTGACCTTATGAATTGTCTTTATCAGTGAAATTTGTTGTGATTGTTCACAAGTTTCTGATCATGATAATACTCATCCTTTTTTTACTTATCAAAAATAGCCTCTCACCCTCATGTGAATTCTTAATCCTAAAATACAAAATCATCACGTGAAGATAATAAGTTGTGAAATAATTTGGCAACTAAAGTGGATTTCAAGGGACAGAAGAAATGAAGAAGTGACATTTGTATTGTTACCAGTGGAGATAATTAGTAAACATGAAATAGTTACGTATATTTCAATCGTCATATTGTGTTGATATATGTATATGATTAGCTGATCGGATTACATTCCTCTGTTTGTTTATCAATGTATTATGAGTTATTGAAGCGAGTTGTTTGGATGTATTAAACTTATTACTAGTTAGAAAAATGATTAAGTTTACTAAATATTAGAATGCACTATGACCGTTTTACATACACACGTTTTCTATACGATTGTCCAACTACCGATGCCAGAGGGGAAAATGAAAAATGACCAGGAAGCTTTTGTTGATAATACCGGCTGATCATGTACGCAAATTGTTGGTATTTAGACATTTGTCTTTCTTATTCAAAGAAATAGATGTAGGGTTAGAAAGCGTTCAGGTCGTGTAATCACCCTCCAATAACGTGCCTTGTTTAGAATGTCCATTAATATTAGAGGATATTCGTAGGTTACCAGTATTCGACCATAGGTATTTCCGAGCACTTGTATTTTTGGAACATCAACTTTTCATTTATCAGGTTAGATACAGAGTAATAAGTAAGCATGGGTAATCGACTGATGAGGTTGTATCGTTATCGACTGAAATGTTTAAGACATAAATCACATATGTCTGTCCACTGGCCACCTCGACGAGCGATGATGGCAGGTGTAGGTGTGTAGATTGAAAGAAAGCTAGATAGGTTCAGATGGATTCATGCATGAAAGCATTAATTGTTGGACTGAATCCTATAGATAGGTCCAAAGTATCTAATTCTGGTCCGCGTGATTATTGTAATCAATGTAACAAGTGCACTCCCTTTTTGTCTTCCCTTAGATCCTGAGTTTCAAGACTATCTTATGCGTTTTATTTAGGGAATCCATTCAATCTTCTTGAATTATATTTCTCTATAGTTAATTTTTTTCTCAATAACACCGATACTCCTAGCATTACTGTAGTGAACGAGAACACCAGTGTGGACAACCAAATGTACTTGAACATAAAATTACAGAATCTCTTAGTAAAATCTGAGAACCGTACAGTAAATAATTTATTTGCAAAATATCCATCAATTATCTCAGATTTTGTTGTTCCTTCGTTTCCAACCAATCACTTTCCATTCTTGTTCTCTTCTCTTCTATTTACTCAACCTTCTTACATCAGGCATTCCACTTTCGATCGGTGGTACATACTACTTATATCTATCGACATCAGTAGCACACACTACATTACTT